TTTTATTACTGTAGCTCTATAGTAGACCTTGAGGTCAGGGATCGTGATGCCTCCATAGTTTGTTTTATTGTGCAGGATTCTTTTGGTTATCCTGGGTTTTTTGTTTTTCCATATGAAGTGGAGTATTATTCTTTCCAGGTCTGTGAAGAATTGTGTTGGTATTTTGATGGGGATTGCATTGAATCTGGAGATTGCTTTTGGTAAGATTGCCATTTTTACTATGTTAATCCTGCCCATCCATGAGCATGGGAGATCTTTTCATTTTCTGACATCTTCTTCAATTTCTTTTTTCAGGGACTTAAAGTTCTTGTCATACAGGTCTTTCACTTGCTTAGTTAAGGTTACCCCAAGGTATTTTATATCATTTGTGGCTATTGTAAAGGGTGATGTATCTCTGATTTCCTTCTTAGCCTGTTTTTCAACTGTATAAAGGAGGACTACTGATTTTTTTGAGTTGATCTTGTATCTTGCTATGTTGCTGATGGTGTTTATAAGCTGTATGAGATCCTTGGTTGAATTTTTGGGGTCACTCATGTATACTATCATATCATCTGCAAATAGGGAAAGCTTGACTTCTTACTTTCCAATTTGTATTCCCTTAATCTCCTTATATTGTCTTATTGCTCTGACTAGAACTTCAAGTACTATATTGAATAAGTATGGAGAGAGTGGACAGCCTTGCCTTGTTCCTGATTTTAGTGGAATCGCTTTGAGTTTCTCTCCATTTAATTTGATGGTTGTTGGCTTGCTGTAAATTGCCTTTATTATGTTTAGGTATGTTCCCTGTATTCCTGATCGCTCCAAGACCTTTATCATGAAGGGGTGTTGGATTTTGTCAAATGCCTTTTCTGCATCTGGTGAGATGATCATGTGTTTTTTTTTCTTTGAGTTTGTTTATATGGTGTATTAGATTGATGGACTTTCGTATGTTGAACCACTCTTGCATCCCTGGGATGAAGCCTACTTGGTCATGGTGGATAATTGTTTTGATGTGTTCTTGGAGTCTGTTTGCCAGTATTTTATTGAGTATTTTTGCATCAATGTCCATGAGGGAGATTGGTCTGTAGTTCTCTTTCTTTGTTGCATCTTTGTTTGGTTTAGGAATCAGGGTAATTGTAGCCTTGTAGGAGTTTGGTAAAGTTCCTTCTGCTTCTATTATGTGGAACAATTTAAAGAGTGTTGGTATTAACTCTTCTTTGAAGATCTGGTACAATTCTGCATTGAAGACATCTGGTCCTGGGCTTTTTTTGGTTGGGAGATTTTAATGACTGATTCTATTTCCATAGGGGTTATTGGACTATTTAAATAGTTTACCTGGTCTTGATTTAACTTAGGTATGTGGTACCTATCCAGAAAATTATCCATTTCTTTTAGATTTTCCAATTTTTTGGAGTACAAGTTTTTGAAGTATGACCTGATGATTCTCTGGATTTCCTCACTGTCTGTTGTTATGTCTCCCTTTTCATTTGTGATTTTGTTAATTTGGATGCTCTCTCTCTCTGTCTTTTGGTTAGTTTGCATAAGGGCTTATCTATCTTGTTGATTTTCTCAAAGAACCAACTCTTTGTTTCATTAATTTTTTGTATTGTTCTCTTTGTTTCTATTTTATTGATTTCAGCTACCAATTTGGTAATTTCCTGGCATCTATTCTTCCTGGGAAACTTTGCTTCTTCTTGTTCTAGAGCTTTCAGATGTGCTGTTAATTCACTAGTGTGAGATATCTCCAACTTCTTTATGTGGGCATTTAGTGCTATGAATTTCCCTCTTAGCAGTGCTTTCATAGTGTCCCATGAGTTTGCGTATGTTGTGTATTCATTTTCATTGATCTCTAGGAAGTCTTTAATTTCTTTCTTTATTTCTTCCTTAACCCATTGGTGATTCAGTTGAGCATTATTCAGTTTCCATGAGATTGTAGGCTTTCTGTAGTTTTTGTTGTTGTTGAAAGCTAACTTTAAACCATGGTGGTCTGATAGAACACAGTAGGTTATTCCAATTGTTTTGTATCTGTTGAGATTTGCTTTGTGGCCAAGTTTGTGGTCAGTTTTAGAGAAGGTCCCATGGGGTGCTGAGAAGAAGATATATTCTTTTTTGTTAGGATGGAATGTTCTATTGATATTGATTAAGTCCATTTGAGTCATAACATCTGTTAAGTCCTTTTTTTCTCTGTTAAGTTTCGATTTGGAATATTTGTCCAGTGGTGAAAGTGGGGTGTTGAAGTCTCCCACTATTAATGTGTTGGGTTTTATATGTGATTTAAGCTTTACTAATTTTCTTTTACATATGTGGGTGCCCTTGTATTTGCGGCACAAATGTTCAGAATTGAAGCTTCAACTTGGTGGATTTTTCTTGTGATGAGTATGTAAAGCCCTTCTTGATCTCTTTTGATTGATTTTAGTTTGAAGTCTATTTTGCTGGATATTAGGATGGCTACACCCACCTGCTTCTTAAAAACATTTGATTGAAAAGTCTTTTCCCAGCCTTTCATTCTTAGGTAGTGTCTATCTTTGAATTTGAGGTGTGTTTCTTGTATGCAGCAGAAAGATGGGTCCTGCTTCCATATCCATTCTTGTTAGCCTGTGTCTTTTTATAGATGAATTAAGTCCATTGATATTAAGGAATATTAATGACCAGTGATTGTTTATTCCTGTTATTTTTTTGGTGGTAGTGTGTGAGTACTTCTCTTCTTTGGGGTTTACTGCTGTGGTGTTATCTATTGCCTGTGTTTTCGAGGGTGTATCTGACTTCCTTAGGTTGGAATTTTCCTTCTAGTACTTTCTGTATGGCTGGGTTTGTGGATAAGTATTGTTTAAATCTGGCTTTGTCTTGAAATGTGTTGTTCACTCCGTCTATGATGACTGAAAGTTTTGCTGGGTATACTAGTCTAGGCTGGCATCCATGGTCTCTTAGTGTCTGCATTACATCTGTCCAGGTCTTTCTGGCTTTCAATGTCTCCATTGAGAAATCGGGTGTTATTCTGATGGATTTGCCTTTTTAAGTCACTTGGCCTTTTTCCTTTGCTGTTGTTAATATTCTTTCTTTATTCTGTAGATTTAGTTGTTTAATTATTATGTGGTGAGGCGACTATTTTGGGGGGTCTACTCTGTTTGGTGTTCTATAGGCTTCCTGTACCTTCATAGGCATTTCCTTCTTTAAGTTGGGAAAGTTTTCTTCTATGATCTTGTTGAATATATATTTTCTGTGCCTTTGAGTTGGTATTTTTCTCCTTCCTCTATCCCTATTATTTGTAGGTTTGGTCTGTTCATGGTGTCCCAAATTTCTTGGACATTTTGGGTCATGACTTTGTTGGCTTTAGTGTTTTCTTTGACTGTTGGATCTATTTCTTCTACTGTATCTTCAACACCAGAGATTCTCTCTTCCATCTCTTGCATTCTGTTGGTTATACTTGCATCTGAAGTTCCTGTTCGTTTACTCAGATTTTCTATTTCCAGCATTCCCTGTTTGTGTCTTCTTCATTGTTTCTATTTCCCTTTTCAGATCTTGGACTGTTTCCCTCATGTGTTCTTTTGCTTTTTCATGATTTTTTTTCAGGGATTTATTGTTTTCTTTGCTTTATTTGTCCTTTCCTCTAGTTTTTTTTGTAGCGTTCTTCCCATTTTTTGTTTGTTCCTCCAATTCATTTTGGATTTTTTTCTTTATAAGCCTCTAGCATCTTCATGATGTTATTCATAAGGTTGCTTTCTTCTGCTTCTTCCATTTTGTGATGTTCAGGTCTAGCTGTTGGAGGAGGCCTAGGTTCTGGTGATGCTGTATTGCTCTTTATTTTGTTGTATGTACTTCTGCCTTGATGTCTGCCCATCTCCTTATGGATTTGTTCTTGGCCTTATCAGCACTCTTGGTCCAGACAGAGCTGACAGATTCAGGAAGTCTCTCTCTGGTCCTGACAGAAGCTCTGGGCCAGATGGGAGCTGGGGGCTGGTCTCTGAGTCTCAGGCAGTGGCTGGGGTCTTGGGTCTATGGGTGTGGGGGCAGGGCACGTAGATTACAGGGTATGCCTGGGGTCTTGGAAAAGGGAAACCTTCCCAGTGGATGTGGGGGTGGGGTCCTGCCTGATGGCCAGAACCTGGGGCCAAGTTGGGCAGCTCCTCCCCGGAGTGCAGCCAGTGTTCTTAATCACTGAGCCATCTCTCCCACCACAGTCCAGGGATTATTTCCTGCAGGCAAATACTAGTAGACACTGCTTGGTGGAAGGTCAGGTCATTGTTCACATTTAAGGTTATTTTACAGACCTAGCAATGATCATTTACCATGTGTCCTATTATAGGGAAACTTAGACAGGAAACACAGTGGTTGAGTCAGGGTCACATAGGCCATCAGTGGCACAAGCTATTAGTCCACATAACATCTCCAGCCTCCCCACCATGAAGACCTACTAGGTGACCTTCACTCCTCTAGATCATTTCATAGATTTGGGACTCTTATAGGGCTACCAGATTCATGTCAATCAACATCAAACACCTGACAAGAATAGCCCAACTGTGGCCCAGCCTGAACTAAATGTCAGGCAGATCCTGAGCCTTGTGAGATCTCGGACAGGCTGTTAGGTTTCTCAGGGAAGCTTAATCATAACCTATCTGTAGGACAGTCCTGAACAGCAAAGGCTGGGAGGGCTTTGGTCTACACACAGTAGGGGAAGTCAGTGTAGCTGGAGAGACCTGAACCTTGTATCTCAAGGCAGGCAATGGGTCAGTGAGGACCAGGAGATAAAATGAGGTCTCTGATTCCAAGTCTTGAGTCTGACCATCACCAAACACTGCAGCCCAGTTCACTCATGAGAAAGTCTTTTCTGCTCCCATACACAGCACAGGAGGCCCCATTATCTCTGAGCACCCAGCCACTCCACCTGCCTCTAATTTGCTTCCTACCTGATTCTTTAAGGATCTGGGCAGGCTGGAAGTTAAGAGACTGTCTCTGGTCATAAGAGGACTTTGCAAAAATCAGAAGTACCACACATGACAATCATCTCTCTGTGGTCAGCATAGCACTGCTACCCAAGCTCAACCTCACAACCAACAATTCCAATCCCATGAAGGGTGAGGACTCAGTAGCATTAATGTGTGAGCCTGAGACTCAGAATACAGCCTACCTGTGGAGGATAAATGACCACAGACTCTCAAAAGAGGACAGGCTGAAGCTGTCTGAGGACAACAGGACTCTCACATTACTCAGTGTTGTGAGGACTGACACAGGACCCTATGAATGTGAACCTGGAACCCAGTGAATGCCTCCCCAAGTGACCCATTCTCTCTGAACATCACCTGTAAGTATTTTCTGTTTCATCCTGGCCCTAACTGCCTAAATACAGAGGGCTAGAGCTATACCATGCTCGGTCCCAGTCCCCTTGGGTTCATGACACAGACCTACCACACAGATTCCTAGGCTGCCAGGGCATCCTGTACAGCCAAAACATATGTGGACAGGCCCAGCATTGAGCTTGAATGGGCTGCAGGGACTTCTGCCTAGAGAGACTCAGGGTGATGGAGACAGGGGACAAGTCAGACTCAGTCTCAGTGCACACATGAGTGTGCAGTGGGATGTTTGTGTGTTGTGCTTAAGATAGATCGGGGCTTGTGCATGCTGAATAAGTACTCTTCTGCTAATCTGCACCCCAGCTCTGGGTAGGACCTGCTCAACTAAGGTAAAAGCACAGCTCAAAGAGATACTATGTCCTTCTACCGACTAGGATTTCCCCTTCCCTCTGCTGACATCATGTGTGATTTTATTCTATTTTCTCCAGTTGGTCCTGATGTCCAGATCATATCCCCCTCAAATATTCATTCCCATTCAAGGAGAAACCTCACATCTCCTGCCACACAGATGCTAACCCACCTGCACAGTACTCTTGGTTTGTAAATGAAGAGCTCCAGTCATCCTCCCAAGAGCACTATATTCCCAACATCAATACTAGTAAGAGTGGATCTTATACCTTCCTGGTCTATAACTGTCACTGTCCTCAGTAAGAACACAATCAAAAACAATATAGTCCTTACTAAGTGGATCTCTGAAATATCAGTACCAGGTTAGGAGTGGAGCCTTTTGGCTTTCTGCGAAGGTGCAGAAGCATTTAATTTCCAGCCCAGGACTATGGGAACAAGCAAAACTCAGTCTTCCCCCAAGCCTCCTGCTCCATCCCCATGTCTAATGGCCTCCCAGTTCTTTGGTTCCTGGCCGATAGGGATGGAGCTTGCAAAGAGAGGAGGAGGTTTTCCCAGTCTTGGAAAGTCTTCAGTTATGTGAGGGACTTTGCATGGTTAGGAGAGCCTCAAGGTCAAGAATTCTGTCTGTGCCTAACACAAGCTTTACTGTCCCCTCCATTTTCATTTTATGATCTCCATGACCTACAAGGTACACCCAGGGCTTTCAACTTTGCTCACATTCTTATTCTCCAAATTGGAGGAGAATATTCCCCACAGATGGGGACTACACCTCTGCTCCCAGGTCTGCTCCTGTCTCATGGGTGGGGTGGCAGGCTCAGTTCTGACTCCATGGGATGGAAAGAGTGGGTTGAGAAGGTACCTGAGAGCCCTGTTCTGAGTCAGGGTGAACTATGTCTCTGACAGTTGATGACGTTCTTTTGCTTACTCTTCTCAAGGTTCAAAAAACAAATATCAGCTGATCATGGTTGTGCACACCTTTGATGCCAACACTGAGGAGGAAGAGGCAGGTAGATAGTGTGACCTTGAGGCAGCCTGGTCTACATAGCAAGTCCCAAGCTAGCCAGACCTGATCAGTGAGACCCTGTCCCAAAAAATATCAGTACTGAGCATTAGAGTGGCAGGCTGTGGTCAGCACTGTGACTATTCACTTCTACTCTTTTGTTTTTAATCCATATCCATTGGGGCAGGAAATACAATTTTTCTACAAAAAGAAATTCTTCATTAAGGGAATTCTCCCAGTCCTGAGTTCTAGCCTTTAACACTGCTAAGTTTAGCTAGGCCATCTTAAACCTATGACTAATTTTTTAATAAAAATTAAAAGGTTATTTCATAAAGGCAGAATCTGACTGTTCACACTCACAGAAAATGTGAGCAAGAATTTACACAAATATCATTGGGAAATATTCCTCCCCCACTGAGATTTCTGGACATGTGTGCTGGAGAGGCTGCCAGTGTGGAATCAACACAAATACCCTGAATCAGGGTCACTGTGGGTCATCTTCATAGGAGTAAGACTCAGCTCTTTCTTCACAGACTATATCTTAAACATGTGATCTTGCAGAGGGCCCCTTCATTGTATGTACCCTGGGAGCTGGCTGAGATCTCTGAGGGTGAAGGACTCTCAGCTGGTCCCCTCCACTGTTTATTCACAGAACCAGTGATTAAACCCTCCATCCAATTCACCAACACCACAGTCAAAGGCCTGACCTCTGTGATCCTGAAGTGCTTGTCAAACGACACTGGGATCTCAATCCATTGGCTCTTCAAAGGCCAGAGTCTGAGGATCACGAATGAGATGAGGCTGTCCCCGAACAACAGCACCCTCGAAATAGTCCCTGCCAGGAGTTCGCATTCCGGGGACTATCAGTGTGAAGTATCCAATCAAGTCAGTTCCAAGAGGAGTGACACCATCCAGGTGGACATAACAGGTGAGTGACCTCTCCTCCCTTTTTACTCCATAGCTTTGGGGGTGGGAGCAGTTTCTTTATTAACAGAGTGCAGAATGGGTCAAAGTCACAAGGAGAAAAACATGGCTCAAGATACAAATACAGCCAGCTTGGTGATGGATGCATGTTAATCTCATGATAACACACCAAGCAAGGTGAGCACAGTGCTTCATGCCTTTAACCCCCAGAGGCAGAGACAGTTGGATCTCTATGAGTTCCCAACCACCCTGGTCTTATACCAGTTTTAGGTTAGTCAGAGCTACATAGTGAGACCCTGTGTCAAAAGAGAGAACATGAAGCAGGAGGCATAGAAGTACAAGGCCACTCAACTGAATGGACTAGGCTCTGCTGACTCCCCATGGGAGACATTGCCTTGGAGGAGTTGGGAATAGGGGTGTATGGGGTGGGAACACTGGTGGGCTGGGGGAATGAGGAAAGGGGAATATGTGTTTGGTTTGTGAAATGAATAGAAAATCTCTTAATAAAAAAAGAAGCACAAGGACAGTCCAGATTACATTGTGAGACCCGGACAATAATAACAACAATAGATGTTAATATAGCAAATAGAAATGCAAAGTGATTAAGAGTTTAGGGTCTGAGTCAGACACACAGACCACACTCAGAATCTAGTAATATATTCATGTTCCGCTATATCCCATACCACACAATCAAATTTTCTTTAGATTATTTCCAATACCTAATATGAATACTGCATAGACCCTAGTCTTATTCTGTTGAATACAGCACAAAGATAGGAGGAAACAATACACTTTTCATCCCAGACATACTTTTCCAAGTAGTTTGTTTCCAAGGTTTTGATCCATAAATATAAAATTCATAGATAGAAAGGACCTGTATTGAGTTTCTTACTACATTTGCCTATGTATTCATTTTGCATGGTTGTTCCCCTCTAGTGTGTGGAGGTCATAAGACAATTTGTGGGGGCCAGTTTCTGGGGATAGAGAATTGAACTAAGGTAGGTGAGCAAGCCCTTTATCTGGTAAGCCATCGCACTGGCCCACATTGTTTGTGCATTTATAGCTATCTGTGTGGCAGTTGGGGGTAGGTACTGTGAGGGAGCACAGCAGGCACTCTTCGCAACTGAGCCATTTTGGTGGCCCATATACTGAGTTACTTATCCTCATGCTCCTTGCACAAGACTCCATTTTTCTGATATCTGTTTTTTGTGGTATGTAGCAGTAGTAGTAGTAGTAGTAGTAGTAGTAGTAGTAGTAGTAGTATCTCTGTGTGTGTGTGTATGTGATGTGTGTGTGTGTATTTGATTCTTAACTATTGAGCTATCTCTCCAGTCCCATAAACCAAATGCATGGAGAGATAGCTCAATAGTTAAGAGCCCTAGCAGCTCTTCCAAAGGACAGGGGATCAATTCCCAGGACCCACATGGTAACTTGTTACTGTCTGTAACTGAAGTTCCAAGGAATTCAACACCCTCTTCTGTCCTCCTCAGGTAGAAAACATGCATGTGGTGTAGAGACATATAAGCAGCCAAAAGGCCCATATGATGCATCTGTCATCATAACAAAGACAACATTTGAAATCAATTTCAAGATGCTTTCATCTGGTCTCCTAAAAGTCTGATGACTTTCAGCTCTGATCCATGTTAGGTCTTTGATCCATGTAGAGTTGATTTGTGTATGTTGTTAGGTGAAGGTTTAACTTCATTCTTTTACCTGGATATTACATCTTCCTAACATCCCTTGCTTAACTGATTTTACTTCCAACATTGTGCAGTCTTAGCAGCCTGATCAAAACACATCTGGACACAGAGGGTCAGATGGACAGCAAGAATGCCTTCCATGTTCTGTAACTCAATAGGACAACTCTGTTTCACACCAATTAATTCAAAAGAGCCAGCAGAAATGTATGCTTTAACAAACATAAAAAGTGACAGATGAAATGCTGGATATGCCAACTGTGCATATCTGACATACATGGTAATATATATGCAAAACTGTGCCCCATGAATACACATATTGATCATTTCAACTAATCTTTAATTTAATCATGGCCAGTGTGCATGAGCAGTTCTGGGCTTTCCAATTCTATATTACTGATCTGTATGTCTGCCTTTCTGTCAGCAGTAGACTATTTTGATTGTTGCAGCTTTGTACTAAAATTATGAAATCATGGGGGATGACCTGCAATTTTATTCTTGTTTTTTTCAAGATACTTTTAAGGCCATTTATGGTGATGCTTGCCTCTAACCCCAGCTCTTTGGAACAGAGACAAGCAGTTTGAGGCCAGCTTGATCTATATAGTGAGTTTCAGAACAGCTAGAATGGACTTTGCTATTTCTGTGCAAATGCCACTGGGGTTTTGATCTGATATGCATAGAACTGATAGAGTACATTCAGGGATATTGTCATCTATTAAAAAAAGTTCCAGCCACTCAAGAAGTTGAGGCAGGAGTACCAAGTTCTAAAAGTGCCTACTACAACCAATTCAAGGCCAGCCTGATTAATTTAGTGATATCCTGTTTCTAAATAAAAATTACAAGACAGAACTTAGAGTATAGCTCAGTGGTAGTGCATTGCTTACCATGCACAAAGCCCTGGCTTCAATCCCAGTACTGCAGAACAACAGTAATAATGAGATTAAGTCTCCAACCCATCAACCCCAATGGCTGTCATTTCTTGTCTTCTTTCATCATCTCTTATTTGGTAGTTTTCTGAGTGCAAGTCTTTTATCTCCTTGGTAGATTTAATTCTAAGTATTTTATTCTTTTTGGTGCTTTCACAAATAAATACTTTCTTCATTTCTTTTCCAGTTGTTCACTGTTATGGCTGGGACTATTTATTGCTCAGGGGCTGAACACTTGCTGGGCATGAATGAGGCTGTAGGTTCAAGCTCCACTACTGCCAGGAAAAACAAAAAACAAATTGTTCATGGTCAATAGTAGTATACAGAAATACAGCTCACTTGGGCTTTTTCATTGCAATAGCCAACAAATTTTGCTCATTTAGTTCTGAGATCTTTCTGTAGAATGTTCAGGATTTTCTATGAACAAGTTCCTCTCATCTACAGATATATTTAGCACCTCATAATTGGGCACCTTCATTTCATTGTCTAGCCTAAGGCTCTGTGTAGCACTTCTAAAGGTCTCTTGAACAGAAGTGGTCACAGCAGCATCCTGTGTTCTTCCTGATCTTAAAGAGAAAGCTGTCAGACTCCCTACT